AGGTGGGCTGAGCTGGCCACACACACACAAACAAAATAAAATAAATAAATTAAAAAAAAAAAAAGATCACTAGGATTAATGTGATTGCTGGGGAGTTAAGCATGGGATTTAGGTGGAAAGCATCAGGCACAACTGAAGGAATCTGAACCCCAGGACTAGGTGTGCCACGGGGCTGCACACAGAAATCCTTCAATCTTCACACCAGCTGTGCGGTTTCGGGCAGCATGCGTGACATGTGGCCCCATGCCCTCCCGGCTTTCCTAGCTGGCTTTTCGGCTTTCATTACAGATAGAATGAGGGGGAGGGGTTCCAAGTGTGACCAGCAGACAGTCGGCAGGCATGAGGGAGACTGCTGGTGACAGGGTCAGCAGACAGCCAGAGCTGCCCAGCACCGAGTACCGAAGCAGTAGAGGAGACCAAGCCCAGGCGACGGCGGGGACCGGGTGCGTGGTTTGGTCTTGCCTCTGACACCTCCCCAACTTTCTTTCAAAACTAGCTGGAACTTTTGCAGAAGAGCAAAGAAGAAGCTTACATCGTAGCAGATGCATTCCGAATTGCATTTGAGCAACAGTTAATGAGGAAAAATGACCAGGCCCTGAGACTGACACAAATGGAGGAAATGTGTAAAAAAGCCAAAACACGGATAAGTTGGAAGCCTCTCACGGAGGACGGTAACTACGGGTCACAATGGCAGTATCAGGGGTGATTTTATTTTATTTTATTTTATTTTTGGCGGAACCAGGGATTGAACTCAGGCCCTGTGCTTGCCAGGGAAGCACTTATTCCACTGAGCCATCTCCCTGGCCCTCAGGGGTGAGTTTAACTGATGGAGCACATAGTATAGAGTAGAGGAGAGAACTGAAAAGTTCACTCAGCTCTGATAAGAGTTTAGCAATTACTGAAAAGAGTTACTGGCGGGTACACACATAGGGAGGTAGGGGAGCAGCTGAGGCAGAAAGCAACAGGGGAAGCCCTTCCCACGTAGCCTTCCATTTCATTTATTATTTTTTTAAATTTTTTTATTATTTTTGTGGAACCAGGGATTGAACTCAGGCCCTTGTGCTTGCTAGGGAAGCACTTATTCTACTGAGCCATCTTCCTGGTCCCTCCATTTCATTTACATAAAACTATTATTTAATGAAAAATACTTTTAATAAAAATGTTGTGAATTCAATGGAAACTGCCAAGAACGAAGTTCTATTAAAAAGATATTTTAAAAAAGAAAAGAAAATGGTATTTAAGTAAACAAGGGATATATCTACCTAATTAAACTTCTTTGAAATGTATGTTTCGTAAGAAACATTTAGTAGTAGAAAATAATTCAATTAAAAATGTTATTAGTATATATATTATGTAATTACACATTCTTCACCTGAAGTTGGTACATGTATACATCTTTTTACTTTCCTCCTTCAAAGAAAAAGCTCAAGCCAGTGAATAGCTCAGTGGACTAAACATGGGTTAGGCAAGGGCAGGGACCAGGGTTTGATCCCCAGCACCACATGCCACACTGGCTCTGCCCCACGTGCACTGAGCTGGCCATCGAGACCAGGCATGGTGACACATGCCTGTAATCCCAGCACTGGGGAGGCTGAAAACAGGAGGTTCACTATGAGTCCAACCTGCGTAGTGAGACCCTCTACCAAATACATTAAAAAAAAAAAAAAAAAAAAGCTTAAGGTAGACAAAGAAAATACTGTGACAGTAAGTGAAATGTTCAGATTTAGGTGTTTGTTCATGAGCTCTAGTACATGCTTGTGCTAGAGTATTCTATTAATGTATTAGTATATTACAATGGCTTAAGAAGATAGTGATCTTTGAGGTAGATATTCTAAAATAAAGGAGCCATTATTTTTTAGAATTTTTAGTTTCTCAAAACAGTGTCAATTATCACTTAGTATTATTCAGTAGAATTCATATTGCTTCAAAATGACAATTATATAAAATTATTTTTCTGAGAATTGTGCTGCATGGCTATAATCCCAGTGCTCTAGGAGGCTGAGGCAGGTGGGTCACGAGTTTGAGCCCAGCCTGCAACTTAGTGAGACCCTGTCTCAAAATAAATTTTGAAAATAGGGGTGGGATACAGCTCACGGTAAAGGCCTAGGTTCAATTAGTAGTACTGACAAAAAAAACTGTGAAATTATTTCTCAGTCAAGAAGGATTAAAGTAGTTTATAAGAAGTTTAAGTGTTTTAATATGAAAGTTCTAAGATGACTATATTTCTAAATATTTTCTAGAGACTGGGTGTGGTGGTGCGCACCTGTAATCACAGTGCTTGGGAGGCCAAAAACAGGAGGAACATGATGAGTCTGATTGGTGTAGTGAGACCTGCAGACCCTGTACTAAATATATAAATTTTTTTAATAATATTTCAAATCCGGGCTGGTGAGATGGCTCAGTGGTCTAAAGCACCTACTTAGAACAAGCTTAGCAAAGCACAAGGACCGTGGTTCAATCCCCAGCACCACATGCCAGCCAGCCCCGCCCCCTGGTGGGCTGAGCTGGCCACACACACACACACACACACATAAATAAATAAAAAATTAAAAAAAATAATATTTCAAATCCATAATCCCAATTCTAATAACTCACATTTAGATAAACTTCAGGATTAATAACCATTTTACATTAAAAATGAAACCTGCAATATAGGTATCAATTTTGTTTGAAACATTTATTTTCAATAATATATATTGGTAACAGTATATAGGTCGACTGTTGTAAATTTTAGCTTAATACGGGATAATTAAAATACAACTTTTGGAAAATACTTTTAATAAAAATGCTGTGATTAAATGGAAACTGCCAAGAATGAAGTTCTATTGAAAACAATATTTTAAAATAGAAAAGAAGGGTCGGGTGATGGCTCAGTGGAATAGGCACTTGCCTGGCAAGCGCAAGGGCCTGAGTTCAATCCCCAGTTCCACAAAAAATAAATAAATAAATAAATAAATTAGAAAAGAAAATGACATTTCAGTCAACAAAGTATATGTCCACCTAACTTGGAACTATTAGTTTGGAACTATACAAACAGTAAAAACAAATCATAAAAGCCCTTTTTTTTTTTTGTTTTTTTGAGACAGTGTCTTGATGTGCAGTTCAGGCTGGCCCCAAACTCATGGTGATCCTCCTGCCTCAGCCTCCTGAGTGCTAGGATTACAGGCATGTGCCACCACACCAGCAAAAGCTCTAACTTTTGATCAGCCAGCAGGCAGGGCAAAAAGGGACAATGTCATACCCAAAAAAGGCATTCACATTGTCCTGAAGTTAAATCCTAAAAGTGTCATCTGATGTGAGACTTCCAGAGCCCATTAGAAAATAAGTGGCTAAGTCCTCAACAGTGATTTACAGTAAAAAATCAATATTTATGAGTGTTTTCCATAATTCCTTCACTAAAAGCTGAAGGTGGGTGACTTTGCTGGGGGGACAGGGGACGCTAACGTGGTCTATTTAGGAGGCAGTGGGGACACTAAGCGCCCAGCAGCCCCATGGACAGCATCTCGGCCTGGCCGCAGAGAGCTCTGCTGAAGGTCTTCGGGCTTCTGTTAGGACCCTCGGTCGCAGAACAACTATTAGAACCAAAGTTTCTCCTAACAAGCATTTTTATCTTCTATCTACAAGGGTTGTCGGAGCTTTGAGTCAGGAAGCAGGGATCCAATTTGTCTTTCTTCTGTCATAATGTCATACTCATTACTGATAAACCTAAAGAATTGGGGCTGGTGAGATGGCTCAGTGATCTAAAGCACCTACTTAGAACAAGCTTAGCAAAGCACAGGGACCGCAGTTCAATCCCCCAGCACCACATGCCAGCCAGCCCCGCCCCCTGGTGGGCTGAGCTGGACACACACACACACACACACACACACACACACACACACACAAATAAATATAATTAAAATAAAAATGAGAATTAAAAAATAAAGACAGTAGTTTAAAATAAAATAAAATAAAATAAACCTAAAGAATTGCACCACAGAAAATGACTGAGAGGTGTCCCCCAAGGCCTCCTGTTCCAGTGTGGTGCGGGGAGGAAGTGCAGCCGTGTTTACGGGGTGGCCCAGGCAGGGCTGGAGCTTGGCAGCACTCTCGGCACAACATAATGGACTTGCTTCTTAGAGCTGCTCCAAGGCCCTTTCACTAGTAGCATTTCAGCAGTCTGAAGGGTTGCAGGGTGACTGTTACCAGGTAGTTGACGGCTGCACTTCCTCCCCGCGCCACACTGGAACAGGAGGCCTTGGGGGACACCTCTCAGTCATTTTCTGTGGTGCAATTCTTTAGGTTTATTTTATTTTATTTTTTTTAAACTACTGTCTTTATTTTTTAATTCTCATTTTTATTTTATTTTAATTATATTTATTTGTGTGTGTGTTTAGTAACAACCTGTAAGTGCTTGCTGTTTCTGCATAGCAGCTGAGGTTCTCCGAGATGTTATAAGCATTTTCTGGTTTTAGATTTAGAGTAAACACAGATTCACTTATCATCAAAGTTGATCAGCAGCTTCTCCGGCTTTTCCCCTTTGCCTCGGTTCCTTACAGTCCGCGCAGGGGCCCTGGGCTCTCGGGACCACGTGGAGAGGACCCCAGTCTGTAAGATCAGTGGTGAACTACCACAGAGCATTTTAAAAATTCCCTTTGTATAATTTCAAATTTTTTTACCTTCTACAAGTCATGTTCTTTCTAAAGATAAAGGTCAGTAATACTCTATAAAATTATAGTCACAAAAAAAATTACAGTCACATTGCAGAGTAGTAATACTATGCCAAACTGGTTTTTTTTCACTGTGATGAAGTACACATGAAGTTCACCATCTGAACTGTTCAATGGGCATGAGGGACCCACAGCAGTATATGATGGTTACACCAACCAGCTCTAGGGCTTCCATCTTCCCCAACAGAAACTGCTCTCCACGGGGCCGGGGAGATGGCTCAGTAGAATAAGCACTTCCCTGGCAAGTGCAAGGGTCTGAGTTCAAACCCCAGTTCTGCCAAAAAAAAAAAAAAAAGAAAAGAAAAAAGAAACTGCTCTCCAGGCCTTTGGCTCTGTGTGGCAGCCTCCCCCGCCCATCTCCCAGCCAGTGCTAGGGGCCCATCAGCCCTGCCCACAGGGGCCTCTTTGCTGAACGTCATCAGGAATGGATTGCCTCAGCTGGATTTTCATGTTCAGTTTTAGGACATCAACCTCGAAGGAGTAAGAAGACATTAGGGCAGAAACTGCTGGGCCTGCTGCCTTTGGAAGGCAGCTCTCAGAGGACGGAAGACCAGGGCAATCCTCAGGAAGTCTGTAGGATGCTCATTGAGTTGGTTAGTGCCTTTGCTGTATTTTCCTTGGGATAGTGATGCTCTGTTTTTGCTACTTTGGCATTTTGACCGGTTTGCCTCTGGGGCCCTCTCAGCTGGGCACCAGTGTCCAAGCCTGCTGCTATGGGCCTCTCCTTACCCCATATGCACGCTCCTCACCCACCACACATGCTCATCTGCATCTCTGCCCTGCTCCTCTCCCGCTGGGCTAACACTGGGCTAGCTGGGTAATTAGAGATGCAGGATGAGACCACTGGGACACGGGGTGAAGTCACGATGCCGTGCCTCCCGGAAAACAGCCTTATTATCCCCACTTGGTTGATAGCTCAGCTGAAGTGAGGCCTGGGCCAGGCGTTTTGAACACAATTAGGTCTAAGGACTGTTGGTGACCTCACCATGCCCTCAGAAATAAGTACATGTGGTGGTGGGGGGACCCAAACCCAAAACAATCTCTCTCTCTCTCTCTCTCTCTCTCTCTCTCTCTATATATATATATATATATATATATATTTTTTTTTTTTTTTCCCCCTCTCTAGATTAGACTTCCAAAATTTTCAACAGTAGTCATGCCATCTCTTTGTTCTCTTAAAAGCAAATCCTCAATTCAATTCAGCATAATGCTTGGGAAGACGTAGGGTTGAGTATTTTGGTAAAATACTGGTAGTCTTCCTGGATGTACTATGGCTTGCTGACTAATGAGTGCCTTTGGATTTCTGTGCACGCAGTTAAATGATAAAGAAGAAGTGCTGGCACATCAGAGAAAAGTTAGCTACATGCTTGCCCGGGCGCTGGAAGACAAAGACAGCGCTTTGAAAGAGAATAAAGACAAAAGCCCCGTGAACGAGAACTTTCCATTCCCAAAGCCCTGGCATAAGCCGTCGTCGGAATTCTCTGTTCTGTGTGACCCTGTACATCTAGGCTTCGGGACGTTTAATTCTACGGGCTGTGCTTGTTCAGGCCAACAGACAGATCCCAGCCTCACACGAACTCTTAGAAGATGCTGTTCTTTGCCATCCAGTATCACGTTTTGAAGACACACTTACCACCTGAAGTCAGAACCGAGAGCTTTTTACATTGAGAGACTGGGGCTGGGGGCAGAGCTCCGTGGCACGGTGCTTGCCTAGTACCTGCCAGGCCTGGGCTGCCGGCACCAAGACTTGTGAAAAGGACTGCGTGCCAGTGTTGGTGCAGCTTGAGCCGCTGTGTGTTTTCCAGGATTTTTTTTTAATTTTAGGAGGCAGTTTAATCCAGCTTTTTCTATGTTTTCTATAAAAAATTTATTAGAATTTTGTGTGATCAATTTATTTATAAATTATGTTATTATACTTTATGAAGTTTTCAGTGTTTGCCAACTCCTTATAAGCAAATTGTTTTGGGGAAAACCAAAAGTATGTAATTACATAAAAGTATTAATAAAAACATTGACTATAAGGATCTTAGATCAGTCAAATCAACAATGTAACAATGTAGTTAATGTTTAAAAAGTAATGTCTAAAGCCAGGCCTGGTGGCACACACTTGTAATCCTAGCCCTCGGGAGGCTGAGGCAAAGAGGATTGCTGCAAGTTCGAGAACAGCCTGGGCTACACGGTGAGTTCAAGGCATGAAAATACACAAAAGAATCAAGGGGCCGGGGAGATGGCTCCGTAGAATAAGCATGTGCCTGACAAACACAAGGGCCTGAGTTCAATCCCTGGTTCTGCAAAAAAAAAAAAAAGGAATCAAAATAAGTGATAGGTTTTTCAACAGTGTACTAAAGAGCTAGGAAAGATAAAAGAAGCTTCTTTCTCTCCTGAGTGTGCCTGACAGGAAACTATCCGGGGGTGGAGTGGGAAAGAAGGAGGAAGTGGTCACTGGGAAGAGAAGCTGTTGCTTTAAGGGCTTCAGCCATGTTAGATGACCACCATAATAATTTAGCAGTTTCTACCAGGCCAGAACCTATCAATAAGTATTTGATTTTTCTTCTGTGTTTTTCTCTCTATATGTTTTGTATAATCACTACAGATCAATAATTATTGACAGACCTCTAACTCACTAGGAAGATAGTACTTGGAAAATTATGCAGCATTTCCCAAGACTGGATTTCAGTACTGTTTTTTTTTTTTTTCCCAGAGCATTTATGAATATCTTGCTAAACTAGTATTAGAAAACATTCCCCTGGGCCGGGGAGATGGCTCAGTGGAATAAGCGCTTCCCTGGCAAGCGCGAGGCTCTGAGTTCAATCCCCGGTTCCGCCAAAAAAAAAAAAAAAAAAAAGAAAGAAAACATTCCCCTGAAGTCATGTTTATTTCTACTCAGAGTGTTATCCTTTTAAAACAATACAACAGAGTATTGTAGCATACACTTGTAATCCCAGGGAGGCTGAGGCAGGAGGATAGCAAGTTTGAGTCCAGCCTAGACAATTTAGCAAGACCCCCTTCTC